GTACCGAAAACACTGAATGCGCCAGTTCACATTGCGTTGATCCTTCGTGACTTTTTCGCCAAAAATGAAACCCATATCGTTCCTCAATCACCGTATTCACACTGTGCGACTTCTAACTATTCCCTAAACTCAAAAGACCACTCCGGCACACCGTTTTGAGTCGATTGAAGAGTGTCAACGTGAATCGGCGGGCGCTTTGAAGGCCATCCCCGCCGATGACTTTTTAGCATGCATTGTGGATTGGAAAAAGTTGGCATAAGGGCATTGTGCCCGAAGGGGATTACTTTGAAAGCGATGAATTAAATTTGGAAGAGTAAATAAAGAGTTTTTGAAAAGAAAAATAATTGGTCTTACTTTTTGGGCACAGTAGTGTATCATGTATATTTTCATACATTCTCATGAGAAATTAAAGATGCATCATTCCATAATTTTTTTATATCACCAATAATCATTAATGAAATTTTTTATATATATTTTTTTTATATATATATTTTAGTATTATCATTCTAAATGAAATATTTAGTGAAAATAAGACATATTTTTTCCACAGATGACACTTTAAGAATCCATACATTTAACAAATAAATTTTGTTAAAGACTGTAAATGAATCGTTAATTGGAGAAATCATATGAATCATTAATATAAAATGTTGAATAACAAAATAAACTTACCAATTTTTTAAAATCAGTTTTTAATTTTTTTTTTTTTATCTGATAAATTTTATGTACCTATAAAGGTGACATTATTTTAGCATTTAGTCTATTTTATATTAAATTATCAACAGATCAGATAAAAGAAGATCAGAATAAATTTAAAACTTTTGACTCATTTAATTTCTACACTTAGCGAGAATTTCCAGGCAGTGAATCATTGAAATAAACACTTAAAATAAAAGTTAAGTAAGTACATTATTTATTGCGAATATTATATTTTAGCAGGTTAGTAAGAAAATTATGTCGTTTTTATTTTTTTTTAAAGGAAATTTGTGTTTTTTTATATTCATAAGTGAGATTAATTATGAAAAATTAACCACTTTTTTTCTATGACTTTCCTCCATCTGTCAACAAGTCATTTATGCCGGATGTATAAAAAAAATCTTATCCCTTGAAGCCAACAAATCTACCATTACCCTCTGGGCCTGAATGGTCGAGTGGCTAGCACTCGGTACCACAGGTTTCGGGTTCGAGTCCCGGCGGTGCCATGGATGTTTGCAGTGGTTCGGAATCCACTTTAAGCCGTAGGTCCCGGTCTCATATGACTGTAAGAGCGTCACGGAGCAAAAGTCAGAGTTCTACCTACGGGTGCTCCATCACAACAGAAGCTGCCCCGTTTCCCTCCATCCACGAGTAGATCACTCATGGGATAACCATCATTCACTACAGGACATTGAGGATTAGTCACCACTACCCACTGAGCATCCTGAAATATTTTCCTTTAAGAAAATTTTGCATCGAGTGGAACAAGTGATATTCAGATGGTGCCAGGTCAAGTGAGTATGGTGGATTGGATAAAACTTCATAATAAGAGCCTGGATCTTCTTCATCCTTAAAGCCTGGTATCGTTATGTGGAAGACAATATCTTTTCGGTTATACAGTGCTGAATGAATTTAATGTATTTTTGTTTCCAATCGGGTTAGCTGTTCATAATATAGGCTTAATCAGTAATAGCTGATCACAATAAGACAATTTAATTTGGTTGCAACAGTTCCCAGTGGATAGGACAACCAAATGCAAAGCATTAGTTGTTTTTGGTGCAAGTTGACTTTCGCAAGAATAGGATAAGCTCATATTGTTATTGGTTCATCTTGTTGCCGAGCAAGTGAAGAAGAAGTTATAGAAACTCGATCTGCCATAATTTTTTCGCTTCACTAGGGTTCCAAAGACACCATTTGTAGACAAAAAGCCAAACCTTTTTTCAAGGGGTTTTCAATTGTTATGCGGCTAACTCTTAACTTCTCCACGATCACCTTTGTAGTCAATAGTGGTTCATTATCCACTAAAGTCATCATCAGTCTTTGTCTTGCTGTGCGAGGTTCATCCTGAAGCTTCATTTCACCTAAACTGAATGTTTCAAACCGTTTTTGAACTGTACGCACTGTTAATTTTAGATGGTCCAAAGATGAAATACAAATTTTTATGAACTTCTGTCACATTATGACCGAATTGAAATTCAATAAATGAAAAAGCTTGCCAAAGTTGTTGCCCATCTATAAGCGCAATTATCTATAATGCTATTTTTGGCTGCTAATTTGGCGGAAGAAGATACAATTTTGAACTTTACAAACTTTTTAGAGATATTGACATTCTAAAATGTGTTAAACTGAACAGAATGAGATATGCCGGTCATCTCATGAGAAAGTTTTCAATGTAACCCCTTTTGGACAACGACCAAGGGGAAGACCGAAGAAGAGATGGGTCGACTGTTTAGACTCTGATTTTAATCTTATTAAGATCAAAAACTGGAGATCCACAGCCAAGAGAAGAAGAGCCTGGCTGGATCTTTTAAAGAAGGCCAAGGCCCACAACGGGCTGTCGAGCCAGTTATAATGATGATGATGAATTTGCCGCAGAAATCTCTTATTATATTTTAAGATAGATGAATTTTTCATGCATTTTTTCTGTTCAGTATGTGAAAAACTTGCCTATTACTAAGTCTGTATGTACTGTGAAATTCTTGCAAAATCAAATTAAATTTTTGGCTGTCAGACTAATTTTAATACTCAGCTATTTGTCAGAAAAATAACAAAAACTCAATGAGATGATTCATAAATTGTAATAGCTTTGATATGAAATCATGGGTGGTTAAAATTTAACTGCCAAAATAATCAAATATTTGAAATTTAATGTGGCACTGTGAATCAAGGGATTTGCCTTTCAAGTGCTTATGCTTCTATATGGATTTTCTCTTGCCGTTTATTAGAGGCTTGCTTTTATTCGGTATGTTTCATTTAGTTAGCATTTCGTATCATGTAAGGGATACAGAAATGCCTTGGACAGATCAGACAACTTGTGTTCCAGTGTTTAATGCAATGATATGCTACTGATATATGTGGACGCAGTAAGATATGAATATACGATTCCAACTGTCAATACAATCATTTGACTATGGATGATAAGCCTGAATTGAATAATTTCAGAAATATGATTCAAGTTTCGTTCCTTGATCACTTTTGATTATTGTAGGACATCTAAAGCGAGAAATCCAACCTTGATTAAATCATCAGCGACTGTTTCAGTTCTGATGTCTGATATGGGTGCTACTTTTGGCCTACGCGAGTAGCAGCCGGTAATAGTTAAACAATAATGATTACCTTTTGCTGACAGCAAGCGTTCGATGATGTCCACATTTATTTCGCTGAAACATTCACTTACGATGTAATGTTGATGCTTGCTGTTCACATAGCTTTAAATATAAGACTGTATTTGATGCAGCATTTAGTTCAGTTTCTCGAATTTTTTTTTTTTTTTTTTTTTATGCAGAATTTGAAGGATATCAATTTTTAGTGCGAATTTGAAGGATATGAATTTTTGTAAAGTTGACGTGGATGAGCAAGATGATGAATACTTTGAAACATTTGATTTCTTTTAGATGTCTAAAGTAGATGGTATAAATTTTTGTTATGTGTTTTATGAGATGATATTTTATGAGATACCAAGAAAAATATCGGACGATAAAAATACGTTATGCAAAAACTCTAATAATTGCAACCTCAGGCTTAGGTGCTTTTTGTGCCGTCTGCAATTGGTCTCTTAATTGTATCGAATTTTTAAATTTAATATTTTAATTTTTAAAAAATTTTATAATCTGTTTCGATAACTTTTTTTCTTGGTGTTTATTTTTATTATTCGTAGAAACTTTTTTTCTTTTTTTTAAATTAAATTAATTTTTACATACAATAAGGATTAAGAGCAGTTGCCTTTTTCCAGTAAAGTTATTTGGGTTGCAGGTGAAATAATTATTAATTAATCTTGTAAAATCAAGTTAATTACTGAAATTTATGGAGAAGCGATTGTATTGTTTTTTTTTTATATATTTAACATATGTATTTAATAATTAGAATAGTGTACATATAAACAAAAATGAGAATAATAAATTCAAGTATACATTTTTGGGCGTAGGGCTGACAATCTTACCCCGTAAAAAGGAAACATCTGTCTCGAAATCTGCCAGTAGGTTGACGGCCTTGGGAGGCGGTTGCGCCAATGATGATGATGATGAAGAGGAGGAATACATTTGATAAAATTACTCCAAATATATGTTCAATATTGGTAAATGTTATGAAATTAAGCTAAAAAAATTGTTTCTTGAGTTTTTTTTTCTTCAGGTTCTCTTGCAAAGAGTTATGCAATATCGCTAGATTGTGTACCAAGAAGATATTTCAAATTCCTCTACTTTTCTATACTACTACTATATTCTACTTTTAGAAAAGTTAGTTGCCTTTCAAATAAATTCAAAAACAATAACATGTCGATTTCCTTTGGATTAAATTTTGGGTATCAACTTCTTAATAATATTTTGGTTGATTATAAGCGACGAAGATACTAGTTGTTTGCTATAAAAGGTTTTGAGCTTCGACTTGCAGACGGAAGTTTTTCAACGTTTTTGGATAATCTCTGTTCAATTATGGTTGCCAGAGGGCAATGGCCGTATGACTAGCGCTCGGTACCACAGGTTTCGGGTTCGGTACCCGGAGGTGCCATGGCTATTTGTAGTGGTTCAGAATCTACTTTAAACCGTAGGTCTCGGTCTAACAGGATCGTAGAGCGTTGGGGGGGGTATTGTTACTCCGCGCCCGTAGCTTGTCTTCAAGCTACACGCACCTCCTGGGTAGTGCTAAGTGAGTAACGTCGGTGCAGCGCTTGCCTTAAGGCATCCAAGACAACTATCTAAGTGTTTGCCAACTGCATTAGAACAATATATATATATATGGTTGCTAGATAATTTTGGAGAATACCTTCTTCAAAACTCTCAGCTTTTGAATGAATTATTTGATAAGCCAACGGCCATACCATGCTGAATATACCGGTTCTCGTTAGATCACCGAAGTGCGGTCAGTACTTGAGTGGGTGACCACCTGGGAACACCGCGTGCCGTGGCATTCACAAATTTGGGACCTGAATGGCCGAGTGTCTAGCGCTCGGTGCCACATGTTTCGGGTTCGAATCCCGGCGGTGCCATGGATGTTTGTAGTGGTTCGGAATCCACTTTAAGCCGTAAGTCCCGGTCTCCTATGACTGTAAGAGCGTCACGGAGCCGAAGCCAGACTTGGTGCTCCATCACAACAGAAGCTGCTTCCTTCCCCTTCAATCATGAGCATGTATGGGCTCGTGGGCTTGGCCAGCCAAGTGGGATAAGAAACAACAACAACATTATTTGATATCGGTGATTCTTGAATATTAGTGTCCATCTCGTGCTAAGAGTATGTGGCCACATTTTTCTCTTCTAAAAGAAAAACCATTGTGAATGTCAATATAGTGTTGAACAAGTTTTGTTTGTAACTTAGTAAAGATTAGCTGAATAATAGCACATAAGTTTAATTGACATTTGATACAATTACTTATTAGAATGGATTTGCAAAATAATTCAATATAAAATTTTCTAACACATACTCGTAATATAGCAACTTGGGGACCGATAGCGCTCTGGCACTCGGTACCACAGGTTTCGAGTTCGAGTCTTGGCGGTGCATTCGATGCTTGTAATGGTACTGAATGCACTTTAAACGTCAGGTTTCTTATATAACTGTAGAGAGTAGGGCTGACAAACTTGCCCCATAAAAGAAAACAATATCTCATGTTTACGGAATCTGACAGAAGGTCCAGGCCCACCATGGGGCTGTCGCGCCATTGAAAAATATAACGACTTAAGATGAATTCTCTTTGAAAAATAATTCAATGCAAAATCGATTTAGATTTTTAGTATTTAATATTATTTTATAAACATTTAAATTAATGGTATTACTAATAACAAATAAAATTTTTTTAAATCAAAGATATAAATAATATAATCTTTTTTATCCATAAACATTTGACTATTTGTTGATCAAAAACGAAATTAACATATATGATTTTCTATTTTAATTTTAATTTTGTTGTTAAAATATCCCTTTTTTTTTTTAACTGCTAAATACAATAAACACACTATAATTTTTCGACAATAAAGCAGTAGGTAAAAAAAAATTATCCATTGACCATTATAATTAATACATATCTTATTAACCGTCTTAAAACCATCAAATAATAATGATATGTAATGAATTCGCATTTGATTAATATATTGAGATCTTCATTTTTTTAATATATTGAGGACCTCTTATAGAACTTTTCTAATATTTTTTTAAATTAATATTTTACATACGTTACTTATGTGCAACCATTAAAAAGAATTTTTTCAAAGATTCATTAAAACTTTATGCAATCTTTATTTCATTATATAATCTAATTCAATTTGCATATCAATATTATTTGCTATTTTTAAGATGATCATTAAGATATTTATCAAGAATATCTAAAACACATTAGCAAAAAATATACTGCTTCTGAATGCATCTTTATTGAAAGAAATAAAAGTTTTTTTATTGAACGTATTCAAGTTAATAACGATTTAGAAATTGTAATTTAACTGGTTATCTATATATAATATTTATAATAATTAAAATTATAAACATCTATGTATAATATTTATATATTTATAATATTATTTTAAAAGTGTGTATCTAAGAACTGAACTTTTTGTAAATATTATTCAATGACTTATACACATAAAATTAAATTCATATTTTAAACAGAATGATTGCCGATTTGCCGTATACATATGCAAAATATTTTTGTACAAAATAAATAAATATATTTTTTTGGTGAAAAGATTTCAATGAATAAAAATATAATGTAAAAAATTTTTTTCAGTAAGAAACACCCACACATGCACACACACATATATATATTAAAAATATTATTCTTCAAAATATTTAAATTAAAAATGAATTCCTGATATTTAAATAGATTTGTACAAAAAAAAAAAACTATTTACTAAAATAATTTTTTTAGATGTATTAAATTGGAACATAATAATAATAATAAATTTAAGAAGAAAATCAAATAAAAAATATTTCATTTAATAAAACAAAATAAATAAATTTGTAAAAAAAAAAAAAAAAAAAATTCCAAAATCTATCACATTGGAAAAAAATTTGGGGAAAATTTTTTTTTAAATTAATAAAAATTATATTAAGAATATATATTTCAATAAACCAAATTCATAATTTATCAATGAACAATAATATTATAAAATAAAAAAAAAAATCTGAATTATTTTTCTCAAAATAGAAAAAAAAAAATTTTAATGAAAAATAAATTTAGAATATAGATATATATAGTAGATATATATTTTACTAAAAATAATGCTGTAAAAGGATAAATCATTTCCAGAAAAATTTTAGAAGGATTTATTAAATTTAAAAAAAAAAATTATACATTGAAAAAAATAGTAAATAAATAAAAATATATTGCTCTATAAGAAAAGGAAAAGTTCGTCGAAATAAAGTTTTATTTATTATTATTATTTTCAAAATTGTAAACATTTGTTATAATATGTATTTCACTAGATAACATTTATCGAAACTGATAAATATTACAGGCCTTTTCACTATCAATCGTTTACCTAGATATTTTGAATTGATAAGCGAGAGTGAAAAAGTATGTTTTTAACAACTTGTAAAAGTTGAAAATTCATAAGATTTTGGTAACAATTATTCAATGGTTATTAAAATAAAAACTAAATGTCTATGGAGACTGTGTAACTACAAGACTTATGATTAATAGAAAATAAAAATGTAAGTGAAAAATGATTTAAAAATTGATGAAATAATTAGAAACATATAATATTTTGAAGTAAAGTAGGGTTATTTGACTGTTAATAATTGAATTAAAGTAAATTGAACATTCATTTAAAAAAATAACATCATTTTAACTATCTTATTCTACCAAATCATAGTCAAAGTGAATATTTCTAAATGTTTGAAAAGGCATGTGAAAACTCGCGATTTGTATTAACAAGAAGTTAACAGAAGGGTTTAACATCGACATAAAAGATAAAAAGAATAATTTAATAAAATAACTAGTAACAAGTAGAAAGAAAGAATAAATAAATAAATAGAAATATCATTGGAAATTTTTTTAATGAAAGCGATTTAAAGTTAAAACTTTTTGGAACTTAAATCGGATTCGAGTTCCGGTGGTGCCATGGATTTTTGTAGTGGTTCGGAATCCAATTTAAACCGTAATTTCAATCCAATATGCCTGTAGAGCGTTGGGCGTAAGGCTGACAACCCTACCACGTAAAAAGAAAACATCTCCTTTCTCGAAATCTGCCAGTAGGCAGACGGCCGTGGCCCACCACCATGGGACTATTGCGCCAATGAAGAAGAAATATTAAATGTAGAAAACTAATTGGCTAAATAAATTAAATTTTGTAATGCAATTATATAAAAGATTCGTAACATTTCATCGGACTGTGTCTACTATCCTCTGTTCTGGTATATGTTTCTAGTTGTCTTCAGAAAAGATATTTATATTGCAAGGAAGTTGTTTTCATAACAAACACATTAGCATAAATACGAGGGTCACTCTAAAATTTTTGAGATACGGCTAAATGGTACAAGTTTAACTTACCAAATTTTAAGAGTGTTCAGAGTAGTCCCCCTCCAACATCAATGCACTTTTGCAGACAATTTTTCCAAAGATTAAATGCTTCACGCCATCCATTTCTTGGAATTGATGAAAAGTATACTTTTATAGCCTCATCTTCGGAATGAAAACGGCGACCACGTAAATTTTTCTTGAGATTAAAAAATAGCTAAAAGTCACACATAGCAAGATCAGGAGAATAGAGTGGATGTTCTATCACCTTGATGTGTTTTTGTTTAAGAAATTCGACGGTCGATCTTGCCGTATGAGAAGATGCCTTATCATGGTGAAGAATGAGTCCCCTTACATTCAGTTATAGAAGAATTTCTGGAAGACACTTAGTGGTGTACCAGTTAGCTGTGACTGTCTTCTGTCCCTCCAGCTTGATGGCTTTGACCAGTCTCGTACTTCTGAAGAAAACGGCATACATTACTTTTTTCATTGCTCGTTGTCTTTTCTCCATTGTTGGTTTGGGGTCATCTTCAAAGACTCATACTTTACTTTCTTGTCTTGTTGGAACGTCAAAAAATGGTATGTAAGTTTCATCACCAGTAATGATTTTAGAAATAAAGGCGGTGTCCACCATTGCTAAGTAATTTTATGGTTTCTTTGTAGATTCTGACAAGCTCCGTTTTTTGGTGTTCTGTTAAATTATGGGGAATCAACGACAAACTAATTTTTTCATATGCTGTTCTTCGAGAATAATTTTATGTATAGCTGCGGATCTAATGTTAAGTTTCTTCTGTATCATTTGGTAAGTGCAGCGATTATCATCGACTAACATTTTTCGTATGGACGACACATTTTCTGGAACTACAGTTGATGAAGGTCTTCCTGTGAGTTCTTGATCCAACAGAGAACTTCGACCTCTACGAAATTCTGTAAACCATTTAAATACAGTAGCACGAGATGGAGCTTCGTCTCCAAATGCTAGTTGTAGACATTCTTCTTGATTTAACCCCACTTTAAAATCATAGCGCCATAATGCTCTCGCGTCAGTTCCATTTTCCTTTCTTCCAAAATCTATTCTACGACAGCTAAATTGCAATTGTTGCCACAAACTATCGTCTGCGGTCATAAAAGAGTTCAAATTCACAAATTTAACGAATATTTTTTTCCTGCGTTTGTCGTCTGCCACTGTCTCAAAAATTTCAGAGTTACCTCGTAGATATAAATTCCAAAAGAATACAAATTGCAATTTAAATAATAGAAAAAATTGTGAGAAATAACCAGTTTAATAAAGAGATAAAAATTCTACTTTAAATATCAATGAAATTATTATTTTTAGAACAAAAAATTTTTATTTAATATTCGTGAGTAAATTTTTTATAAATTTAATTTAGTGATGTACGTACACATACTGAAAATATAAAATACACGTCGAAAATAACACTTGATTTTGCAAGTAAG